TCCCTCATGAATCCTTAATAATTTATAAAATATTATTATATCTTATCTTACACAGCCCAGCATCTCCCTTCACCCACCCTTCTGTTGCCCATCCCCCAGAGAGGAGGTTATATATAGGTCCTTGTGATCGATTCCCCTTTTCCACCCCACTTCCCTCCCGGTATCGCCACTGTCACTGCAGGTCCTGAGGGGTTCATCTGTCCTAGATTCCCTGCGTTTCCAGTTCCCATTTGTATTGCTGTGCATTCTCTGGTCTAACCAGGTTTGCAAGGTAGAATTGGGATCATGGTAGTTGGAGGAGGAAGCGTTTAAGAACTAGAGGAAGGAGTTTCATTATTGCTACACTGAACCCTGAGCGACTCATCTCCTCCCCACTAACCCTCTGCAAGGGATGTCCAGTTGTCTATAGCTGGGCATTGGGTCCCCATCACGCGCTACCCTGCGAGGAGGTTCTTTTTAATAGACCCTTTCCTTTTTTTCTGGAGTTTCTATATTTTCCTTGAGCTCATTTTAGCTTCTCAATCATATCAAATATTGTGAAATCATAAATTATGATTAATAAAACAAATAGAACATCCTTTCCCAGAGGTCCATTTTGTACATGATTTGGTTTACATGATTTTAAATCCCTGTCTCAGTACATCTACATAGAGGTGTATGTTTTACAAAGCAAGAGCAATAGGAAACTCCCTTAAAGATTTACAAAGCCTCAGACATTCTATATAGAGCCACGATTGTTCCCTGGCAGTTGGTTTCGGGTTACAATTGACAAAATTCAGATCATCCTTTATATGTCCACAGAAAATTGGACCTTTTATATCACAAAGTTTAAAGATACTTTATGCTCTCTCCTTTCACTTAGGAACTCCAGCTAAGACCGTCCTCCTTGGCTTATTCTGTAACTCAAGTTTTAGTCTCCAGGATGATTGTTTTCATTTGAACTGAATTATGTTTTGTAATGAGTAAAATTAGGAGTATATGTAGAATTTCTATATCACTACATTAGATAACCTTGCATCTAGTATTTCTTGATCAAATTAACTGCCTCATCTTTGAGTTTAATTGATGCACTGATAATAGCCAATATTTTATTTCTCTGTTAAGGTAATATTGGATAGATCATCTGATTTTTTTTGTTTGTTCTTATTACTGTTCCTCTTCAACAGCAATCTGCAGAGCGCTGCGTGAGCACTTTGCTTGATCTGATCCAGACTAAAGTAAATTATGTGGTCCAAGAGGCGATTGTTGTCATCAGGGACATCTTCCGCAAGTATCCTAATAAGTATGTCCAAATAATTCTGTGTTCCTATGTTTTAAGTAAGGTGTTTGTAATTGACTAAGGAGTATTTTTGGTTTTTTAAATGTTGTTACTTGTGGTCATAATATACATTATTAAAAATCAGAAACAAGGTAGTCACCACAAAAATTAAAACCTGAGTTTTCACTTTTAGGACAATTAAAGCTATAGGTAATTATATACTATCTATTGGCATGTAGTCAAGATAGCACAATCAAATTCCTTTAGTGAAGTTACCAGTAGATAATTTGTATATTCTAGATAGATAATCTAGATGGTCTCTAGCATAATCCCAGTGAATGTTGTTTTCCAGGCATTTTTAATGATCATGCTTCTTTTTACTCTTAGAAATGTCACAGATAAATTACTATCATCTTCTCATTAAAGCCAGGGAGATGACAATTTAACTGTTCACTTCACCTAGTACTTTGTGAACAATCACAGAATATATGCAGAAAGTGCTGGGGGCCACATCTGACCTCCTCTTAGAGGGTGGGAGGAGTATCTCCATCATCATCATCAGTGCCCAAAGGCTAATTCCTAAGGCCTGGATGTCAGATATGCCTCCCCTCATGTCCTGTTTACCAATTCTGACACCACCCATCCCTCTCACACTCTACATCTTTCCTAGATTCCATGATTCATTTTAATGGTCACACAGCCTCCACAACCCATATTCACAATTATGGGGCTTATTAGAGAAGCTAATAGTTACACAGTTCTTACAGCCAAGGCAGCACACCTCTCTCTGTCCTTGGTCTCTGCCCTGCTCGGGCAATGCTATAGAGCTCTCAGTGCTCCTGATATATGCTTGAAGGTTCTCCACTCTGTCTTCATGGGTCAGCAAATCTAGTTTTCCAGTTAAGTGCATGAGGCACCCTACCTCCTGCCCAGTGGCACTCAACTTTCCTCACTTGTGGACTAGATAGCTCATTTGTCTGGCTTCTGTTTTTGAAATTCTTCCACTTCTGAGATGTCACATTCTTTGTGTCCTTGCATCAAGGAAGTTGATTGCATAGGTATTTAGGGATCCAAGGGCTGAACTCCACTCTGGGTTTTCCTGACAGTAGTGAAATCCATCTCCCTTTTTGTTTGTTTGTTTGTTTGTTTGTTTCTTAGATAGCTCATTTTAAACCCAGCAGGATGGCCAAACTGACCAATCCTCTAATTAGATGTCCAAGTTTTTACAACCACAGTTAACTCTGTTAGCAACCACTGAAAATTGAATCATATAATTCTATCATTACCTCTCTGAACCTACTCATAGCCAGACCCATCAGGAAAAAAATCCTTTGGTGGGAGTAAAAATTACGACTGAAGAGACATATTAAATAATATGCTGCAGTACAGCATGTAAACAATAAATCATGTGCTCCATGCATTTTCTCGTGTGTCATGGATAGTTCCTTACAGATGGCAAAATCCATACTTTTTCTCCACACATTTTTCAAGTGGAGGACTCTTAGTTTATGAAGCAAAGGGAATAATACTCTTGTAGATGTTATCTTGAAAGCAAACCATTAAAGACTCTGAAATACTGAAATAAGCACAGATCTTGCAAGTATCCAAAAACAATCATTTTGCTTTGCAGTCTACTGAAACTTTTTAGTAAAAATAGTTTAGCACGGGAGTGGTTCATTAAACCTTGTATTTAGAAAAGTATCTTTTTTTTTAGAAAAGTATCTTTGAAAGAAATATATACTTCTATTCTGGTAGAAAGGAGGAATATTGGGCTTCTAAACTTATTGATTAAGGATAGATATCTGTATCTCAATTTAATTTATAGAGAAATGCATCCTGTCGGATTTATGCTACTAATAACATGACAGTTTAATTTTAAAGAACTAATAAGAGCCTGGCTTAATCAGTGTAAGGCAAACAGTTAAATGCACTGTTTGAGCTGTTCACATCTAAATTATTATATAATATCATTCCTGTAACAGAGTTTAAAACTATTAGCCATGGTGGATTCAACATGGTAAACACGAAAGCATATATACTTATAAAAATCAGTATTTGAAATACATGTTTTTTAAGAAAATAAAGTCATTAGTTTGAGGGGCCTTGGGGGGAAGAATAACGAGCCTAATAAAAAAATTAGGTAGGTTGAGGGACAAAGCTACCGTTTTCCAGTCTGCATATTGTTTAACTCCATTTTTTTTTAACATTTTATTAGGGGCTCATACAACTGTTATCGCAATCCATACACACATCAATTGTGTAAAGCGCATTTGTACTTCATTTTCAAAACATTTTCTCTCCACTTAAACCCCTGACATTAGGTCCTCATTTTTCCCCTCCCTCCCCGCACCCCCCTCCCTCATGAGCCCTTGATAGTTTATAAATGGGTATTTTGTCATATCTTGCCCTGTCCGACTTCTCCCTTCACCCACTTTTCGGTTGTCTGTCCCCCAGGGAGGAGGTCACACACAGTTCCTTGTAATCAGTTCCCTCTTTCCTACCCATTCTCCCTTTACCCTCCCTGATTTGCCACTCACACCACTGGTCCTGCAGGGCTCATCTGCCCTGGATTCCCTGTAGTTTCAGTTCCTATCTGTACCAGTGTACATCCTCTGTTCTAGCCAGACTTGCAAGGTCGAATTCGAGTCATGGTAGTGGGAGCGGGGAGGAAACATTTAGGAACTAGAGGAAAGTTGTATTTCTCATCGCTGTTACATCGCACCCTGACTGGCTCGTCTCCTCCCCGAGACCCCTCTGCAAGGGGATCTCCAGTGGCCTACTAATGGGCTTTGGATCTCCACTCCGCACTCCCCCCATCATTCACTATGGTTTAACTCCATTTTTATAAGAACAAAATGAAATTTCTCTGATGTAGTTGTAAGAAAGATTGTTATAAATGTGATAGTGATATTATCTTACAGAACAACATTTTTTTCCTTTGTGAAAAAGATGTCTGTGGTGCGGGGAAGTTGGGGAAAAAATGAGGAGCTGATACCAAGGGCTCAAGGAGAAAGCAAATTTTTTGAGAATGATAATGGCAACAAATGTGCTTGACACAATGGATGTATGTATGGATTGTGATATGAGCTGTACAAGCCCCCAATAAAATGATTTTTAAAAAAGGGATGTCTGAATGATGGATTTTCATAAAGATTGAAGGTCTGATTATCAAAATATAAGTATGTACATTCTCTGGACTAAGAGCCACAAGAATTTAGTGGTATGATTTAGGGTGCCTTCTCTGTTTTTTTAGCTTCGCTATTAAGTGTAGTGTTTAGTGTTTGTTTGTTTTTTAAAATTTCAATAACTATAGCCAATTTTGTTCTATTAGGTATGAAAGCATTATTGCTACTCTGTGTGAGAATTTAGACTCACTAGATGAGCCAGATGCCCGAGCAGCTATGATTTGGATCGTGGGAGAATATGCTGAAAGAATTGACAATGCAGATGAGCTACTAGAGAGCTTCCTGGAGGGTTTTCATGATGAAAGCACCCAGGTAAGTTCTTACCTATGTGTTCTACATCTCTTGAGGAGGATTGCAGGGAAAGTAGAGGTTAGGCAGTTTCTTGAGTGTGTGAGAGTGTATTTATAGTGTTTACTTGCATTTATAGAGGGAGAGAGAATATGAATTTGTATATTTGTATAATTTGTTCATTTTTCTCCTAAAGGTAATGAGTTTTTTACTTCCACCAATTCCTCTATGTAGCTTAGACCAGTGGCCCTCACATTTTAGTAAATATCAGAAAATCCTGGAGGGCTTGTTGGCCCCACTCCCAGTTTTTCCATTCAGTGGGTTTGCCATGCGACCTAGTCATTTGTGTTTCTAGTAAAGTCCTTGGTGATGCTGCTGATCTCCTTGATGTCTGGCAGCCCAATCCTAATTGACTGTCATCTAAAATCTTCTGGCTTGACTCTTGAGCCAGTAAAACAGAAGATTCCATAGTTCTTCCAAAGTTAGATCTTGGGTAGAAGTACATGATAAAGGACTTAGTCGGGAGTCATTTTAATGACCATCAGTTAGCATACACTATAAGAAATATAGCGTCAAGTAATCAGGCTCAAGGTGCAAAATGAAGCTGTGGCACTAAAACTTACAATTGAACAAATGGTAGCTAGTGAGTTTTCATTGGGTGAATCACAGCTGCTGTTGATAATGACTGAATTTTAACCTTTGTCTCTTAATCAAAATCACAGGGGCCCCACAGTAACTCCCATCATGTCTGTCTAGGTGCAGCTCACTCTCCTTACTGCCATAGTGAAGCTATTTCTTAAGAAACCATCAGAAACCCAGGAACTGGTCCAGCAAGTCTTGAGTTTGGCCACCCAGGTAAGAAATTTGGACAAAGTGAGGTTTCAGTTGTCTTGTAGTAAACTAGGAAGTTAGGAGCTTCTCCCATGATTTGGGGAAGTTTCAGTTGGAAGAGTTACAACTTTCAAATTTTGTTAACATATAAAAATAATGTTATATATACATATTTCTCATTGAATTGTAACTAGTCTTTATGGCTTTTAAAATAAGCTGACAGACTAATTTGGGCCTCCTCATGCACATTCCCTTAATACAAGAGCACCTTGCTCACGATACCCACCTTCCCGACATGATCGCTGAAGACAGATGTGTGAATAAGTAAATGTGATGAAGAAAGCTGATGGTA